AGGAGAATTGCATGGAGGTAGGAAATAACCTCCTTTCTTACCTCCTTAGAGAATTGAGGAGGGCTTCAATTAATTCCGCGAAGTTGGTATACGATCGGGCAAGACATTTTGAAGTGAGCTTGCATAAAAGGGGCAATAATCCCTTTTGGGAAGGCAAGCGAACGGCAGTGAAAAATCAAATGAGGTTGGTCAACACCCCCCCCCTAGATCTATTATATTTAGGCTGTGTTGAGTTGGCAGAGGCGCGAGCCTCGAGGACAGGGTCGTCTGACCTTGTCAGTGACGCCTGGAGTTCCTCGATTGTCCTCTCTCTGATCTTATCTTTACAGTCGTATTCGGATGTACTTAGCTTTCTTTTAACTGTTTGTTTCATTAAAATGTTTCTTAGTAATTAATTATAAATATTCTTAAAAGTGGTCTTTAAAATTACTAATATTGTATCAAAAATTAGACAACATTCCAAATACGATCCAGTAACACGCTTGAATTTGCCGCCCGCAGAAGTTGCCGCCCGGCACCCCGGCTTGCTCCCCTCTAGATCCGGGACTGCTTCTGAGAACCAAAGATTCGTGAAAGCAAAGAGACCAATAAAATTTGTTGTCAGCATTTCTGCTCCCTCTTTCTTTCTGTGAGTTCTTCAAATCCAGGAAAGGGTAATGCGTGGATTTGGTGCATGTGAGAAAAAATTTCAATTATTTTTATAGTCAAAAAAAAACAGCTTATATGCAAAGTTCTAGAAAACTTCTATCTTGTAAATCAACAATCCTTGCCAAACATACAATTCAGAGAAGTTTGTTCAAAATAACAGTAATAATAAACAAATTAATTTTATTCAAATTTCGTTTTAAATAATTGCTACAGTTTGTTCACTACAGTGGACAGCATTATGCGTACATGCACACAAATTTCTTCCCAACGATTTATCGTCATTGCATATGAAATCATTTCCTGCCTTGTTTGCAGTGATCATTACCATCTTCTAAATTAAATCTACAACTGACATGTACATACAAATCCCCCAAAATACCTTCATTTCGTCGATTGTGATTGAATTCATTTTGCTACGATTTTGTAACCTGTACCTATTGAATTCAAATGTCAAATGTTCTAGAAATTCCTTGCCAAACATAAACATTTCCAGTGGTGTTTTGGCTTGATAAGCAGTACATTTGAGTTTCAATTCACTCTTTTCGGTAGATCTTTATCTACCCACTCCACAATTTTCTCAAACTGACACTTAAAATAAAATGTCTAAAATTACTAATTATGAATAAAAAAAGGCAGTATAAGAAAATATAAGCAATATTATATAATGTTTACTATGAGAAACTGTACTAACTTCGAAACACGAAATGGCTAACGAAATGGTTGCTACTTCCATTTTCCAAATAGCAGTGCTTTACTTAGTGATGCTATACAGCCATCTATGACCGACAGTTGAAAGTTCTAATAATATATAATGAATAAACACAGGAATGGAATCTGTTAAGGCATTTACAGAAGAATAAACAAATTTAAACTTTTTTCTACTAGAGTGGACATGATGCAACAAAGGGTTAAGTGAATTAAATTCTTTTTGCGCTCTTATTACATTTTTCTAAATTTTTCGATTCCTAAATTTTTCTATTCCTCTTTTCTTATAACACACACAAGCAATTTTTTAAATATGAGTGAGCCCTGAGCGCTAAGTTCGGTAAGGTCACAAAAGACGGTAATTTGAAGGTGTTCAAATCTAGGCAAATGAGTTAATTGCAGGGGAGCTTTCGTGGTTTCCCCTCATGTGAACGAAATACGAATTCTTTTCCTTTAAACGTCCTTTACGAGACGCGACTCTTTTAGTCATATAATCTTCAAGTGCTGTGAACAATTCTAATCTAAATTTTTATGATATAAAATTTCATATAAATTTATTCTACTTGCCGCTTTTATGTACATTATATGTATGAATACAAACCTGCAATTAATATTGAGAATACTATTGATGCAATTGATGTTATAATTAATACTGAAAATAATGTTTAAGCTAAAAATCAGTTTGAACCCTTTTTTATAATAAGGTAACATGCGCCAAAGATTTTGGATTATGGTAAAGCACACAGGGGTTACTTACCTAAAAAAAGAGTTTTTTTAGGGAAACAGGCTGGTAATTCACCATACACTTATGAAAAACCTCGAAACCTCCCATGCAGCCGCAAGGATTTAACATGCTCAACTATCTTAACTCTCGACCGTTACTGGACTTTCTCAGCTTACGAAATATGTATATTAAGTTGATTATTTACATAACAGAAGAACAAAATAAAATGACAGATTATAAATAGTGCATTTTACTGACAAAAAGTTCTTCGAAAAAAAATACTGTAAAGAATAAGAACGATGCAGTTAACTTAACGGCGGCCGATAAGAAGTGCTGGTGCATATATTTTTTCAGAGAAAATTATTTTGCTCGTGTTGTCGTAAAACGAAAAATATTCATAAATTATTCTTTTATAGTTGTTAAAATAGTCATGGATTATCTGTTTTAAGAGAATATCTTCTTAGAAAATTTTCAAAATGAAATTGGCTTGAATTCGCATTACGCATGGGGAAAATTATAAAGACACCAAGCCGCTAACCTGTTCGGTTGCCAACAACAAATCCAGGACAAACATCACACATCCAGCATTCTTATTCAATCAACTGCAGTGAACTTAAATATTTGTTTGTATATTATTATTAGTATTAAAATAATAAAAATATTTACTCTAATAAAAACTGTTGTTTAAGACATTTTCTTTTGTTAGGGATTTCATGTGAGTAATTAAATCTGCGTTGAAGCAAGACAATTTCTTAAAACTTAATGCTTCAAAAAATTGAATGCTGGGATTCCTAGGAAAGAAATTATCCTCAAAAATATATTCCACAAAAAATTTTGAATTTTATTCTTAAAATGACTTTTTAAATAATAAATAATTGTTATAATTATTAAATATAATGCTTACTTATTTTTTACAAAATGTACAATAATACCCTTTATTTACAAAAATACCATATTCAACAACTATATTGTAAGCTAATAAATAATATAATAATAAGCTAATAAATTTGTTTCTTATTAACTATGTGCCATTTTTCCTTTTCAGCTTTCTGTTATAGGGTAATGTTTTTAATCCTTTTTCAGACAAAGTGTACTAGTGTTTCAAGGACAGGAAGGCAAGAATTTTTAAACTCAGTCAATAAATTCATGATCAACTGAAAATTCATGAAGACTGTTTTGGGTTAAAATTCCCTTTCAGAATAGAATAGTGTATGTAAAAAAAGTGAAATGCAAATTTTAAATTGATATTATCACCGTTTCAGCCCTTAAATAACTCCTAAATGTTTTGTTTATTGCTTTTAAAAACAGATCAGATGTTTAAAAGTTAATACCGTAATGTTTGTATTAAAAAATCTCGAAATTACTGCTTAAGAAAAAGGCGGAAACCAAAGGCATTATTATTATTTATTTATACCAAGGGCATGTTTAATTTCTTTGAGATCGAGAAGATATTTTAAAAAAAATGTTTATGCTATATCCTGAAATCACTTAATTTTTTGTTTTCATAAATCAGATGAAAAATAAGTCACATTTGAAACCCATCCTTTTTCAAAACAGCTATCCACGTATAATCATAAAAATCTTTTTTTTTTTTTCGCCCTTGAAATTAAGACATTCAGTTACCAAATTTTAGCTTCGCAGAATATTTAATTTTACTTAAAAAAGCATATTTGTATACATTTTTACGTATATATTGTTCATTCAAAAAACGAAATCGTTCCAGAAAATAACATCCGTTTTAAAAACTAAGTAAATTTCAGCATTAAATATGCCTGAAATGTTAAAATTTTGAAATGTCCTTAATATTTAACTAGAGTTTATTTAAAAAGCAAGTTTAAAAATCACATCAAGTTAAATTGATTAAATTTGGCAGAAATAATAAAACAGATGTTTTTCAGAATAATTATACAAATATTATGCTAAATATGTATAAAATATCTGTCTATAAATATCTATAAAATCTAATAAATATCTAAAAATAAAAGAAATTATTAAAAAAAAATTAATATCTGCATGTAAATGAAGAACATAGAAAAAGGTTGAAAGAGTTAAAAATTTTTAATTTATGACAAAAACATAGAAAATCAGAAATAGTATCAAATGCAATCGAACTATAAATATTGCTTTTCAAATGTTGCAGGAATCTCACAGAAAGAATGAATATTGCACCAGATATTTTTAATAGGAATTTTATTAATAGCAGTTTAACCAATCTGCATTGAAATTCATATGATAATCAATGACCCAGAGATTTAGGTAATTTAGATTAAACATTAATAATAATTAAAAAAAGAGCGGGTAAATTTTAAAGCCAAGTTGTTTCAAAGTAAGAGGAAAGAAAACTTTTAAGATAGTATTCGCAAGTGTACCCTGCAGCAATCATACGGTCATCACGGAGAAAAGTCTTTTGCAACTTACAGACATCTACTACTAATAATGAGCCCTTCTCGGAACCCAAAGTTCGGGGATCCTTGGATTTTGTTTTAAACAAAAGGAGTTGATAAAGGGTATAACGCCATCTAAGGCCGTTACAATAATTTCTAAGCTCCGGACCTCTCTCCGTGAATAGATGGAGAAACTACTGATGGGGTGGGTGAGAGAGAAGCAGCTTCAAGGAGGAACCTTAACATAAAGCATCATATGTGAGAAGGCACGAGCGATTTACGGTTATTTGCTAAAGAAGATCCCACACACTTCTACAAACGAGGAATCGGAAGACTCGTTTAAAGCCAGTCGGGCTGGTTTGACATCTTTAGGAAAAGGACCGGCATTCACTCCGTCGTCAGGCATGGTGAGGCAGCAAGTTCGGATGTGAAGGCAGCTGAGGTTTACATCAAAATGTTTTCCGAACTGATAGTAGCCAAAGGATACATCCCCCCAGCAAGTCTTCAACTGTGACGAGACAGTGCTTTTCTGGAAAAGGATGGCGAATAGAACTTACATAACGGCAGAGGAGAAGACGATGCCAGGTCTCAAACCCATGAAGGATAGATTAACTCTAGCAATTTGCGCCAATGAGATTGGCGACTGTAAAATCAAGCCTCTGCTAGTATACCATTCGGAAAATCCCAGAGTCTTTAAGTCATATAATATTTCAAAAGAAAATCTGCCAGTTATGTGGAGGACAAATCCGAAGGCGTGGGTCACCAGGAAATTCTTTGCGGAGTGGATAAACCTGGTGTTTGGCCCTTCTGTTAAAAAATACCCACAGAAAAACAACCTACCCATGCAAGCCCTTCTCTTCCTCGACAATGCCCCTACTCACCCACCAAATCTCGAAGATGATTTACTCCAAGAGTTCAAGTTTATAAAAGTTCCCTACCTACCACCCAACACCACTCCTATCCTGCAGACCATGGATCAGCAGGTGATTTCTAATTTTAAGAAATTGTACACCAAGCACATTTTTTGCGCTGCTTTGAGGTGACGGAGAACACAAACCTTACCCTTCGAGAGTTCTGGAAAGGCCACTTTAAGATCGTGATATGCCTAAGAATTATTGATCAGGCCTGGCTGGGTGTTACAACGAGGACCTTAACCTCTGCATGGAAGAAGCTGTGGCCTGAGGCTGTAGCTGAAAGGGCCTTCGAAGGATTGGAACCCAAAGTGTCATTGGTAGAGGAGCTTGTTTCTCTGGGAAAATCCATGAGTCTGGAGGTGGATGGGAGAGATGTGAACGAACTCGTCGAACAACAGTCTCAGGAGCTGACAACCGAGGAGTTACACGATCTGTATTTGCAGCAGCATACGTTGGGTTAACGAAAAATTAGTTTTGAAGAGGAGCCAGAGGTGGAGGAGGTTATCCCTACAAGAGATATAAAACAGGTCTTGGGAATGTGGGAGAAAGTTGTAGAGTTCGTGGATAAAAATCACCGCGAAAACGTTGCAACTAGTCGTGCATCCTTGACACGGAGGAAGAAACAAACCTCCTTGGAAAGTTTTTTTAAACGATCTGCGGGTGGAAATGAGCAGATCATGACGAAAAAAGCGAAGACCAGTGACAAAAATTAAGCTCTTCCGTAGGCACTTCACTTTTTCTTTTAATTATGTTTTTATAGAATATGTATTTGTTATTTATAAATAAATGTTTCTTTCTTGTTTTTCTTGAAATTTTTTTCTTATTCAAAAAAACACTTAAAAAAAACAACTGAGGTCGTGTTTTGGGAGCTGGAACGGATTAATGGCATTTCGATTAATTTCAATGGGGAAAATTGCTTTGAGATACGAGCAATTTGACATACGAGCAAGGTTACGAAACGAATTAAACTCGTATGTCGAGGTACCACTGTACGTAATTATATAATCGTTAGCAAGCAGATAGTAATAAATAATTTTAAAAGTCTGATGCTATCAATATATAAATTATGTTGACTAGTATAATTAATTTAGAATTATGCGCCTACATATAATAAGATGATGTATGTTACTACAGATACGTATTAATATAATACATATATAAGTCTGTGCATATATATGAAATCATAATTCTATTTAAACCAGTTAACAGTTAGAATTACTGAACAACCATGAAAGATTCCCCAAAAAATGAAATATGGTGTAACAATGAACACTTAGTTTAGAAATTAGATTCTATTGTATATTGTTGTAAAAGCCATTGTAAGAGTGAAAATTCTTCATTCTGCCTTAATGCGATTTTTTGCGTTTAATGCGTTGTTTGGAGATTTTATGATCCCGAATTATATTGATGTGATATATTAATACTGCATTTGTAGACATACGTTTTCTGAGAAACGAGTCAAGGCGATTGATTTTTTGTAAAAATTTGGATTTATCCTTATTTTATTGACGTGCACCAGCACTGAATTGAGAATGGCTTGTGCTATGCTTCGATGGATGAAAAAGCGTTTGTAAGTAATGAATATTATGAAAGTTTCAGCATATTTAAATGAATAGTATTAAAAGTATATATTTACTAATGTCATATATTAATAGTTTATGGTAAATTTTTCATTATAAATCTCATCATAGTTTCATTTCTCATTCTATTGCATTTCTATAGCGGTACATAAATTTTTTGGTTTACATATTGTAGATTGCATCAGTTTTGCCGCGCAATTTATTCCTCGGTATGTTACTTGTAGTGTTATTAGAAATTCCATTATTTTTGTATTTTTTCTGCAATTGGTAGTATCTGATTAGGAAATTTATGTTTTATTTCAAGATATATATGAAGTTGGTTATATCAAGTGTTAAATAAACGTTGTTATTCGGGCAATAGCGTTAGCTTTATCCAGATAGATAAATGCATTTCTTATTTCTTAAATACTCAAGATATAAAGACACACTCGGATAGTAGATTCACTCACTTTACGTTTTTTAAGGGTTATATATATATCATTAAGGGCGTGTTCAAAACAACCATTGACGGGTAGTCTTGGCGTAATTCGGATTCATACCAAGATTATCCATTTCTCAAGGGCAATAATTTTTGTTATTTTTGCTAAACCGTTTACGAAAATATAATTTTCCGAATGCTGAACTCTTATGCATGAAAAGACAGAAGTTAAGATATTTGTTTTGCAATTTGATGCAAAATTCTTATTATTAAAACACTGATGTATATGTTCTTAATTTAAAACTCTGCCAGTATATAACATTATATAACATTCTTGTGTTATCACCATTTATAGATGTCGCTTGCTGTACAGCAGCCTGCTGAATACATTTTACTTTCTAGCTATCTACAATTACATCGTGTTGTTTCGGTATGAACAGGGGCGAAGTATTCATTACTTAGATACATTTAAAGATAATTAATTAAATTTTTCTGATTTTGATATCTATAATATATAGACAGGATTACTGATAAAAAATTTAAGAAAATAGTAAATGAAGAAGTAAATAGAAAAATTTCGTTCAGGTATTGTGAGATGTCAATATAAACTTCATACATTTTACTAGGGGGCTGTTGCCAAAGCAAAATCTTTACTATATATGTCTACGAGCTCTATGTATACAGTGTGTTGCTCAAAGTAAACTTCCTGCATTGTGAAGAGTACTACGTGTATGTCTTAATGCGTTCATGCGAAGCTTGTTTCCTCGTATACGCTCTGCCACTTCGAACAAAAATTGTCCGTAAACTGCAGCGTCTTGAGTTGTTTATATAGGTTCTTGAGCTGTTCTGTTATTTCCTGTCGAATCTGACGCTGACGCGGAGAGTCTTGTATCCTTCGTTTACTTGCTACTTCTTCTATTCATCGCGCATGGTCTGTTGACGTTCCACTTGCCTAATGGGCCTCCGTTTCCCTTCTGCTTCCCTTTCCGGAGCACGCAGTGTTTCTTGGTTTTCTGAATGTCTTTTGTGTTTTCTACTAGTTTCTGATACAGTTTGAGCACGCGAAGTTTCTTGAGTTGCTGCTTGTCTGCTGGAACTCCTATTCGTTTCTTCTTCAGTTTCTTGAATGCGTAAGCTTTCTTGTCACTATGCTTGCCTGCTGAGTTTCTAGTTGTGTCTTCATTCATTTTTGAAGCTCGCAAATTTTCTTGTACTTGCCTGCTGAGTCTCCTAGTGTTTTTTACTTCATTTTTCTGTAGCTCGCTGTACCATTTGTGCTCTCTTCTTGCGTTCAGACATTTTAGTAAATTGAAAAAAAAAAAAAATTATGTAACTGTAGTAAAGTAACATTGCATCTAAAATACGTTAAATACCTACAGATGTTTAAACTTCTACTCAGAAAGTAAGTATACAATAAAAGAAATTAAATTTTTATAAATAAATTTAGAATAGCATAAAATGCATAGAAACATTTCATTATGAAGAAAATGTATTCATTCTTTCCAAGCAACCAGCGATTCGTAAATACATTTTTCTTGCCAACTCAGGAAACAAAGACCTTTGACACTTCAGGTAATACATTGGAGGTTATGATTTAAATTTATTTCAATATAACAAATTTTCAAA